TGTACGATGACCAGTGGTTAAAGGAACGTACTGGGTTAGAGGGTTTAGTTGTGCAGCTCACCATGTAATGATGATGACCAGTGGTTAAAGAAACTCTGGGTTAGAGGGTTTATAGTGTAGCTGAGAGACCATGTAATGATGATGACCAGTGGTTAAAGAAACTCTGGGTTAGAGGGGTTATAGTGTAGCTGACCATGTAATGACGATGACCAGTGGTTAAAGGAACTATGTGTTAGAGGGTTTATAGTGCAGCTGACCATGTAATGATGATGACCAGTGGTTAAAGGAACTCTGGGCTAGAGGGTTTATAGTGCAGCTGACCATGTAATAATAATGATGACCAGTTGTTAAAGAAACTCTGGGTTAGAGGATAAACACAGTTGGCACATGTGCAAGGTAATTTTCATTTTTCATTCACAATTAAAACCATCAAGCTCCATTGAATCACTTTGCAGTTGAATAAAGCTTGGCAGAGAAAACAGAACCTGGACCTAAATCGAAGAGGGTAGACATTAAACAAAGAAGTCACGTATCATTCAACGAAAAGAAAAATAGATTAACAAGTTAGGAAAAGCCTGACTAACGTAATTTGAATTGTTTTACAGAAAATGAATCTTCAAAAGAATTCTTAAGTACTTATTGACAAGTAACTGAGTGAAAGATAAAAGAAAAAAAAAGCTAGATGGTTCGCAGAGATCCATTACGATAATTAAACTGATAATGCAGATAATTAGGCTGATTCTCTGAAGCGTGAATTGTTACACCCAAAGTCTGTTTTAAAAGATAAAAAGGCTTTCTTATAAATTGCTTCATATTTCTTTTACATTTTCTTTAAGAAGAATATATTTGATAAAACTCCAACTTCAAGTACTAACTTAATCCACGAAGATAAGCTAAGAACGTGATGAGAAGTGTAATAGATTACAAGCAGTTAAATACACGATGAAAAGTATATTACGTGACGAGTAATTCGATACTCAACGAGAAGTTTGATACGTGACGAAAGATCAGTTTGATACACAATGAAAAGTTTGATACGTGACGAGTAATTCGATACTTAACGAGCAGTTTGATACGTGACGAGTAATTCGATACTTAACGAGCAGTTTGATACGTGACGAAAGATCAGTTTGATACACAATGAAAAGTTTGATACGTGACGAGTAGTTTACTACTAAACGGGAGGTTTGATACGTGACGAATAGTTGATAATTAACTGGAAGTTTGATACGTGACGAATAGTTTGCTACTAAACGGGAGGTTTGATACGTGACGAGTAGTTTGCTACTAAACGGGAGGTTTGATACGTGACGAATAGTTTGATATTTAACGAGAAGGTTGATACGTGACGAATAGTTTGATATTTAACGAGAAGTTTGATACATGACGAATAGTTGATACTAAACTGGAAGTTCGATACGTGACGA